TGTCTATTTTCTCCCCTCAGGGAGATGATCCTTCCCTTTTATAAGATCTCCAAAGAGGTGTGACCCCAACAAAGGGCTGGGAACCACTGAGACTCTCTGTCTTTAACAAACCCCTGAAGACTTGGGAGAAGTGCAATTTCAGGAACTGTTGGAATACTGGAGGGAAGAGGGGCCATGAGTGGCTGCTCTTGTCTCCTGGAATCACAGTGTGTTGGTGTTCACATGCAGTCCCTCTGCTTTTTCTTGCGGAGACTGGGGTGACTCACCGCCATTTGCTCCTGTGAGCCAGCTCCTCCTGCGAGGGCAAGGCCAGTGCCCTGGAGTTTCATCGGCTGCAGGATGAGTCCCAGCGCACCTCACATCCCAACCATCTCACTCACCATTGCAGAGCCCGGCCCCCTGGCCACCCTTGCGGTGTGACGATCACTTTTGCCTGCTCTGCTCATCCCTTTGTCTGACCCTATCTTCCCAGCCCTTCTCCATGCCCTCCGGACCTCCTGCTCCATCACTGGAAACCTCTGTGTTCCCTTCATCTTCCTGTAACAGAAGCATGGCTGTCTCCTGACACCGTTTCCCTCGTGGCCATCTCCAGTGGTGGCTGCTCTTTTTTCCACACACTGTATTCTGAGGGGCCTGGAGGTGGGTCCGGGTCATTCTTGCTCCCCATGACCACATCCAAACTGCCTCTCTTCTGTGGCCCTTCAGAAGCCCTAGCCCGTTTGCAGTGTCTGTCATCTTTCTTTACCATCCCTTTTCCCTTCTTGGTGCTGCTGGCTACTGACCACCTCCTCAGTCCTCACTTTCCTGATGCACCTGGCTCAGACACTCCCTCCTGCCATTCCTGTCTTCAGCATCTGTATATATTAACGGTTCATGCCCTTGGAGGCTTTTGGAAATGTATGCGGTTGGTTTGTTTATTTTGTAATGTAGTTGTGCTCCAGCATTTATATTGAAATATATATTGTTTTGTTATGAATGATTTCCTCTGTGTTTTTCTTTACATTAGCTGTTAGGGTATTGTCTTAGTCTGTTTTCTGCTGCTATGACAGAAAACCAGAAACTGGGTAATGTATAAACAATAGAAGTTTACTGGGCTCACGGTTCTGGAGGCTGGCAAGTCTAAGAGCATGATGCTGCATTTGGCAAGGGCCTCATCCCATGGCAGAAGGCAGAACGAGGAAATGCGAGCACAAGGCAGAAGAAATTGAGCCAAACTCATTCTTTTACCAAGATAACTAACTCACTCCCAAGATAACGGTATTAATCCATTCATGAGGGCTCCGACCTAATCACCTCTTAAAGGTCCTGGCTGTTAACACTGTCACAATGGTAATTAAATTTCAACATGAGTTTTGGAGGGGATATTCAAACCATAGTGGGAATTGTATTAATTTTTTTTTAAAAAAGAAACCATAGTAGATTATAGTGTCTTATGAATTTCATTTCAGGATAGGAAAGAGGACATTGAAATATATTTGTTATAAAAAGGGGGAATTTGGTCTGACAGCACTGTGCATGGCTGAGGCAGATAATCTATTCAACTCCTTGGCTTCCCAGTTATTACAATGATCTTTTCCTCTAGCTCACCTCAGCCCCTAAACAAGTGGTCACCCCCTAGAATCATCATCACCAGTCACCACATGACTCCCTAAATCTGGATTTAAACAACCCACTCTCTGACCATCATCCCCCAATCTCAGTAGTTCACCAACTCCAGCAATTCTCCAACCTCATAGAGACCTCCTGGCACTGACTCTATCACTTTCCATTTTTCATTGTTCCTTATTCCTTTTGTGTCCCCACTTCCTTCCTCCCCAGCTTAGGCTCCATGGTTCATCTTGACCACTCCCTTGCAAACATGCATAATTCTCATGTCCACTTGTCTGGAAAAACAGTCCATGGTACTTAAACCCAATTTTCTTCTTACTCCACACATGCCCCTGAGCAAGCAGTTGAAGGTGTGGGGGAAAATCACACAGCCAATGACTAGACTCATGACAGATTTATGGCCACAAATCTCAAAGGGACACTCACCACAGTGAGGTAATTGTACGTATCTCTCTTGTAAATTCATTCTCCTACTTTCCAAGATAATTATTTCCCACTTTCTCCTCTCTCCACAAATCTTCAACACTTCCTCCCTTATCCCTTCCACCTCAGCTGGTGACTTCATGAGAGACAAAGAGGCATTTGGATTAGAACTACCTGATTTTCCCACTATCACTTCTATCATCCTACCTCCATCTGTGGCCACCAAGCCAATGGCCACTTATCATTTTACTTGAGCTGATCTCTCAACAGTATTTAAAAGAGTTATCACACTCTCTTTCTTGAAACACATCATTCTCTAGACTTCTGTATCTCCGCACTTGCTGGTCTTGCTTCTACCCCATTGGTTGCTTCTTCAGAGCTTCCTTTTTGGGCTCTACCCCACCAAAGCCTCCAACAAAACCCTAAATGTCAGAAGCCCAGGGCTCTGTCATTGGCCCTCTTTTCTCCCAAGATTTCAGCCATTCCAAAGGGTTCAAATTCCACCTGTCTTAGTCCATTTTGTGCTTCTATAAAGGAATACTGGAGACTGGGTAATTTATAAATAACAGAAATTTACTTCTCATGGTTCTGGAGGCTGGGAAGTCCAAGATCAAGGTGCCAGTATGACTTGAGGGCCTTCTTGCTGCATCCTCACATGACAGAAGGCAGAAGGGCAAGAGAGACAAACTCCCTCTGTCACGCTCTTTTATAAAGGCACCTAATTCCATTCATGAGGGATGAGCCCTCATTGCCTAGTCACTTTTTAAAGGCCCCACCCCTTAATACTATCACATTGGCAACACCTGAATTTTGGAGGAGACACATTCCAACCATAGTGCCACCTCTATACCCATGACTTCTATTTTCAGACCAGACTTATCTTTAAGCTTCAGACTCATGTATCCAATTGCCCACCTGACCCTTACAGTTAGATTTCTATCAGACATTTTAAATTTACCATAACCAATATATAAATATTAATTACTGAAGTAGGCTGAGCAATGGCCCCCAAAGACATCCAGGCTCTAATCTCTGAACATGTTAATGTTACCTTATATGGAAAAAGGGACTTTGCCAATGTGATTGATTTAAGGATCTTGAAATGGAAAGGTTATTCTGGATTATTCAGGTAATCCCTTAATGTAATCACAAGCATTCTGTAAGAAGGAGGCAGAAAGAGATTTGACCCGACAGAAGAGAGCATAAGATGTGACAACAGAAGAAAGAGGCTGGAGTAATGCAAGGAACAGGCAAAGCATGAAGGCAACTTCTAGAAGCTGAAAAGGCAAGGAAAGATGCTCCCCTCAAAGCCTCCAGAAGGTGCCCAGCTGACCCCTTCACTTTAGCTCAGTGAGACTGATTTTAGACTTCTGATCTCCAGAACTGTAAGAGAATACATGTGTGTTGTATTAAGACACCAAATGTGTGATCATTTGTTACAAGCAGCAATAGGACACTAATACAGTCACAGCCACCACCACTACATAAATCCATATCCCTGACCCTGGTGCCCTCCACATCCCCGCAAACGGCACCCCTGTCTATGCAACTGATGAGGCCAAAGCTTCAGAGTTCTCCAGATTTTTCTCTTCACTTACACCTCACCTGTCAAGCCTGCCAGCTCTACCTCTAATACCCATCCTGACTCCAACAATCTCCCGCTGTCTCCACTCCTATGACCCAAGTCTAGGCTGCAATCACTTCCAGCCTGAATCACTACATCCCTTCCTGCTTGGTCTTCTGCCCCTACTCTTGTCCCTCTTCAGTTGATTGTTCCCTCATGAGCCAGAGGGAACTTTATGAAGGTCACATCATTCCCCCTTTTAAAACCTTTCAATGACTTCCCATTATACTCAGGAAGAAATGCAAATTCCTTGGCATGACCTACAAGGCCCTATAATAGATTGTCCTCTGCCCACCTTATCTCCCTCCACTTCCCCACTCATTCACTGCAGTGGTCACACTGACCTTTCTGACCCTTGTTCATTCCATTCCCATCTCCAGCCTTTGCACTTGCAGTTCTTACCGTTAAAGTGCTCTCTCTCTCTGGATCTTTGCCTGGATCCCTTCTTATTGGTTAAGTCTGAGCTCAAATATTGCTTCCTCCAAAAGGCCTTTCCTACTACCCTTGCTAAAACAGGACCCTCAATGCCTGAAGCCAATGGCTATTTAACCCTATTTTATCTTCCTCATAGCATTTGTCAACACTGGAAATAGTCTTATTGGTTTGTTTACATGTCTGTTGTGTGTCTCTCCACTAGATTGTAAACTTTCTGAGGGCAGAACTCTGCCTGTCCTGCTCACTGCAGTATCCCCAGTGCTTGGCACACAGTTGGAACAATTAATGTTTATTTGCCTTGTTGCCTGCTGTGGCTTGTTTCCACTCTACCACTGCCTCTGGCTAATATGACTGCATCAAAACAATCTCTCCCTGGGATGTTTGTATTTTGGCAGCATTGGGCTATTTGTGCAAAGAGCTAACCAGTGGAATTTCAGACATCACTCAGCAGGTAAGGAATGACCATGTGTTTCTTTTACGGTGCCTTTAAAAGCACATGATTCATTCAGCATCTGCTTAGTCCTGAGTGCCATGGGTACATAACAGAGGGAGGAAAAGATATTTACATTATTCCTTAATTGATGAATTTGGATTGTTCAAGCCAAGAAAGGGGCGGAGAAGCAGGCAAAGACATTGCATGTAGGTGCTCAACTGTTTCATGAACTTGGTGTGGTGGTCCCTCCACCTTCTACCTACTGAAGACCTGGTGAGCCTGGGAGTCTGGGGATGGCAATCATGTGGCTCAGAGACGGATGGTAGAGTTGAAAAGCACAAATCATACCAATAAAAAAACCAGCTCACCCCAACACCTGTATCCATTTGTAAATTAAGGGAGATGGTGGTTTTCTCCCGGCAGTGGCCGGCTGTCTCTGACTTGACCTTTGTTTTTCTCCTCTCTCTGCTGCCCTAGGTCTCATCATTCATGAGGGACCCTCCGTGTACCGCATCTTTAAACGGTGGCAGGCTGTCAACCAGCAGTGGAAAGTGCTGAACTATGACAAGACAAAAGACCTGGAGGATCAAAAGGCAGGAGGCAGGACAAACCCCCGGACCTCCTCATCCACCCAGGCCAATATCCCCTCCTCTGAAGAGGAGGCAGCAGGCACCCCTGCCCCTGAGGAGGGCCCAGCCCGGGCCACCAGCCACCCCTCAGCTCCTCTGTCCCAACACCACTGTGCTTACACCATCCTGCACATCCTGAGTCACTTGAGACCTCACGAACAGCGGAGCCCCCAGGGCGGCAGCCGAGAGCTCGTCATGAGAGTGACGACGGTGTGAAAGGAGAGACTTGGGAGGAAGGCTGTGACCGTGCCAGAGAAGGAGGCTGGGCTGGGAGGGGGCCAGGGAGCAGGCAAGTGGAGTCCAGGTGGCACCCCAGGGGCCAGAACAGAGAGAGCAAGCAGAGGGTAGTGGGCCTTGAGGGAGCCGGGGAGCAGGGGCAGAGCTGGAGAGGGGCTGGCACCTGAAAGGGTTCTGTGATTTGCAGTCAGTCAGTGCCATTCTCCAACAACAATAGCAATGAAAACCAGTACAAATCAACAACAAAGTGCAATACGGTCTGAACCTAACCGAATAGAACAGAATCATCCAGGTGTACCCATCGGCAAGGCACAGGGTGAAGCAGAGGCTGTGGGTTGGCCTGGGTGGCATGGCGGTGCCCGCAGGCACATGTGCAGCAGAGAGGGAATGCAAAGGGGATTGAGGGAAAAAGCATGTGTATGTGTCACCTGCTCTGTTTTAACCTTGAGTTTGTCTTTGTTTCTCCCTGGGCCATCTCCTGTGGCTGTTGGGGGAGGGGGAGGGACGGGTGTGGGCTGGCAGGGAGGACATATGCCTTTGGGCTTCTGGGCTCACCTGAAAAGCATGTGTCACCTGCTCTGTTTTAACCTTGAGTTTGTCTTTGTTTCTCCCTGGGCCATCTCCTGTGGCTGTTGGGGGTGGGGGAGGGACGGGTGTGGGCTGGCAGGGAGGACATATGCCTTTGGGCTTCTGGGCTCACCTGGGGGGGAGGGCAGGACTCACTGATTCACATGGCTTTAGGGACTCTGGGGTGGTTGATGCAGGGAGGGAGACGTTGTTGTGAGTGGCCAGAGGGAGGTGTATGTCTCCTCCCTAAAGCACCTTTCAAACTGGAACTCCTAATTTCAGGTGGTCTCAAAGAGGGTGTAGGTTTGGAGATGGGTGTCTTTCTGTGCCCTTGTTACTTTATTTTATGGTGATTTGGCTCAAAGATGTTTACAGGAAGCATACACACACACACACACACAAATGCTCGCCTAGAGAAAAGTGCAGATTTCCAGTGGGTATCTCACACACACACACACACACACACACACAAATGCTCGCCTAGAGAAAAGTGCAGATTTCCAGTGGGTATCTCAAGCACAGTTCCTTTGAAGCTGTCAATCCAGGAGCGACTTTCCCAACTACCCAAACCTACCCATGGCCAGGGCACTATCAGTGCCATGCCCCCTCCTGCCTTGGCACATGCACAGATAGGTCCCCCCTCAGTCGGGTACCTGCTGCCCAGGGTGAGAGGAAGTTGGCCAGTGTGCCCCAAGGAGTGGAGTGGAGACCAGTTTAAGTATTCCTTGTTGCTTGGGACACTCCCCAAGGAGGCAGTTTGGCTAATGCTCAGTGCTATGTGCTCCTTGGTCCTTCCCATGCAGCCAGGCAGGCCCAGGGGTCCTGGCAGGGAGCACTGTCCCTGGAGTCCACCTGTTTGTTCCTGGGACACTGCCAGGGTAGACCATTGGGTGGTCACCTGCAGAGTTTCTTGTTGTCAATGCACAATGGCCACGTCATCCGTGGGTATTAAAAAGACACTGTCAAATACTTTTTTAAACTAGTTTTTAGGGTTTTTTAAAACTCTCTGTTGTTTGTAATACTCTCTTAAAAGCTTGAAAATAAAATTTCTTTCCCTACCACTTGTGTCCCTTTCCATATGTGAGTTTTTCCTTCCTCTTTCCCGTCCTCCCTCTTTGGTATAAGCTGCCTTCTTCCTCCCTTGTGTCTGCTCCACCACTAGAGTCTCCTCCATGGCAAGAAATCAAAAGCATTTTCATTCCTCCTTCAAGAGTACAGATGGGGTGGGGCAGGCAAGGATGTTCCCTAGAGTGTGTGTGGAGTGTGTGTGTGCGCATGTGCGTGCACGTGTGCGTGTGCGTGTGTGTGTGTGTGTGTAAACCTACAGTGAAGCCCTGAGACTCCTGACCTCTTCGTGGCTTCCTATGTGCACGTGTGCGTGTGCGTGTGTGTGTGTGTAAACCTACAGTGAAGCCCTGAGACTCCTGACCTCTTCGTGGCTTCCTAGCAGATGCATTCCTTCAGGTACAAAAGAGGAACAACTCCTACACTATCCAAAGAGTTCTGCCCCAGAATCCTCAAAGCAGAGACCATTACTCCTGGGAGGAAGTTTAGGGAACTCCACCCTATCAGGTCTTTTCACAAATGCTGGGAGAGCCACAGGACAGGGGTGTTAGGACCTCATTCCCTTGACAGTTTTCCTTAAAATGTCAAAGAATAGCACCCAGGTTAGCGCCCCATCTGAGGGCTTGTACATATCATGAGGCAACAGACAAGATCTCTCCTCCCTTCAACTTGACCTGGCCTTCTTTCCTTGGGCCTGACTGTCAGGCAGTGTCAGCTGTGAGATGAGCACAGGCCTAGGGAGATTCCTCCCCAATGAAATTCACATCCAGAGGGTTAGAAAAGACAAGATAACTGGTGAGAGACCAAGGACACATACAAGAAAAACATAGAAACAAGTGAAAATCGACAGTCACATAGAGTAAGGGTGTGTAATTTCAGTGTAGTCTAGGAACAGGCCATTTAGATTAGTTAAATATTTATGGAGAATATAGATGTATTACATGAACTATCTATTTTCAAAAAATATTAGAATGCAACAAAATATGCATATCATCAAAGCCATAGTGACCACCACCTTGTCTTTCTTTGGTGATTACAGGGAACTTTAGAATTTTGTGGTCATTCAAGGTCATCATTCCTTATGTTGTACTGAAAAGGAAATTAACGAAAAATTCTCATAAAATGCTGGAGTTTGTTGGATCTTGATGATGCAAGCTCCAAGAGAGTAAGGACCTCATCTTTCTTGTTCACTGCTGTATTTCCAGGACCTGGCACATAGTAGGTGCTCAATAAATATTTCTGAATGAATAAGACACTCTTAGAAGAATACAGGAGTACCTTTAGTATCCAGGGGACATGGCTCCTCTTTTTTCAACTTACACGTAATTCTCAAGGTCAATTTTACAGTAGAAAAGAAAAGTCAAGTTTTGACTTCTCCACCCAACAGGATGGTAAGCTCCCTGTGCCTTGGGGAATGGAGCTTATGGGTATAGAAATGGATGAGTTGGTTTTTATATTTTATATACATCTCTGCAGAGCGAGGTAAAAATATATCCTGATGACCAGAGATCACTGTCCCCCTTGCAAGCCATCCTTCATGCCACCAGGCAAGTGTCTAGATTTCCTGTGTAGTTATTTAATGTGGAGCAATAAGTAGCCTAGGGAATTGTTAGAACAAAGGCCATACTAACTCCATCTTCTGGTCCCTTCAGTTTTACTTGCCCTTTCTATGACTCCCCTTTCTAGGTCTTTTACTAGGAGGTTATCCATTAATCTGAAGCAAGGCAAGCACAGGTAAGACAATGACTGAAAAGCTAACAAGTCAAAGATCAAAGCTTTCCTGTTGATGCACGTAGTAACCTTAAGTTAAAAGCTCATTGGTCACAACACTTTTAATATATCATAGTCACAAGACATCCAGAGGTTGACCACATCGACATCTTGTAGACAT